AGAAACAACTAGCTTATTTCTATCACTGCGTGCAAGAATCTACTTATATCAAGTAGACTCTGATAGGGCAATGCCGTTCTTCTTTGTTCTTCGGGACATCCCACTCTTCAACAGCACCCCGGATGTTTCTTTAGACTTTCTTCTCCTGCCTTTACTTTCTCTTTCCTTACCAACGTTGGACCAATTCAAGGTTTGAGGGTCCAAGACTAGATCAGCAGAGTGCGGGAAGGAAAATGCGGGAGAGGAATCTGGGGTAGCTTGAAAGCCTGGAAAAATGCATCAGAGTTTCAAAATCTTGTGATATGTCGCCATCTCGATCCTAGACTGAAAGGATTAGTATTATTACGGCATACGCCATCCAGATCTTTGTAACAGTGTCAAGAAAAAAGAATCATCCGTCGAAACAACAAGAGGATGAAGGAATTATTCGCCGAATGAGATGATGGTGGCGTCGTCGTTGTGGCAAAGACTGGAATTTTTTAATTTATATGCCATGTCGAAAGTATTTGGACTTTGAAAAGATGCACAGGTATGTGATGTGAGAAGGAAGGTAGAGGCAATAGAAACAAAAGAGGGTATCGTATTATGCTGCAGTGATTTGATGTATGTGTGGTATGTGTTGCAACTTTCAAGATGGGCTCACAACATAAACGTTCACTTCTTGTACTTCCATTTATTTCGTCTTCCTACGGTCATATGAATATTGGTGATGCGAAGTGTGATAATTATGGTCTTTCATATCTGCAATGCCGGTACTTGAGATTTCCTTTCCAATTAGAAGGAGTGTGATACCTAGCAATAGTGCGTAGTATTCCGTCACCCAATGTATCAAACGCTCTTTGTGGTATCGCCAACATCGATGCAAAGTATCGGTCGGGTAAAAACATCTCGAGGAAGAATTGAATGCAACTTTTTCGAGTGAATGAAGCGGCAACAGATGATTTCTTCTTTGCAATTAGTCTGTTCTGCCCAATGTTGAAAAGGAAAACCCGACATCTACCCAGCTCAGCTACCTAATAAGCTCACACGGGGTATCTGAAATAGATCGTCGCTTTATTAATTTATATATTACTAAGAGAAGGGATTCGAGGCCTCGCCATCTCCTCTTTCGGTCGGTCTGGATCTGTCACGTAAATATAACCTGGTCGTTTTTAGGATCATACCTAGCATACATCGTTCAAAAAGATACCTAGGTATCTTATTTCTTGCAGCTGATGATCTTGTATATATTACTTTCTCTACCGGTTCGTATCTCAGATACTATCTGCAACACAGACAGGCGGACAGACGTACATATACTTTACATTACCAAGGCAATGCATACCAACATTACAACATCGTACATGCCAATGGCCGATCATTCTCCTCACCAGACGTAGGCAGGTTGAATAAGCACTCGAGTAAGTAGTTTGTTTTGGCGTATGCTTTGCTTTCTTTCACTCTCCTGCGTGGATGAATGTAATAATGTTTTGTTTGCATGTATGGCCTGGTGGAAAATTCAAGAACTGCTCGATGATCATTTATTACTCTCCCTATGTACGATGTGTATCCATCTCCATCTCCACTCATTGCTTGAATACCCAATGAGACGTACTCCATATAGATGGTCCTCTCACACTCAGGTCTCTTTACACCTAAGTGGTTCCCATCTGGAAAGAAGCTCCATTTGTTCTGACTTGCATATTCCAGAGAAAATCCAATGCTGCTCTATGATTTATTAATATGTTAGGCCCAAGTGCTTTCCCCTCTCTCTGTCTCTTGTTTTTACCCTTTTCTCTCCCTCAGTGCGTAGTACAGTACTGATCTCTTTCTCTCTCTCCTTCTTCTTGCCCAGGTTCACATTGACAAGAGCTGCTTGCTTTTTCTTCTTGCTCTACATATCCCGTGTTCTGAATCATTCTCCATTGCCACTCCACCTAGCGATCTCTCTTCTTTCCTTTTCCCCCTCCCCCTTTCACATCTTCACCTGGCCCAATGCCTCTTCCCATCCTCCTACCTTACCTCTTCACACATCGTCTACCAGTCACTCACACGCACACACGCTCTCTCTTGAAATCTCTCTCTTCTCTTCTCACCACACACCACACCACACACCACCACACCACCTTTACCTCGCATCATCTACCAGCTTCTTCTCTCATTCCCATTCATAGCATCTCAATTTAGCATTACCACCTCAGTTAACTAGCACCTCCACATTCACATCCACATCCAACTCTACCCCATTATTCATACAGTCCTATTCATCCATCCATAACCGTCGACGCATGTCCGTGAACTTTTGTGGTGGCCCTCCACTTTTAATGCAGAGCTAATTGCCCCTCCCTTGTCTTCATATGTGGCTCTTTTGCATCCTCTTACCAATGAGAGCTTTCCCTCCATTAAATTTAGAAGCTTAGTAGTTAGAACCCTTTTTTACTTTCCTGGCTCTCCACGCCCCCCTCGGATATCGAACATCGGACCCTTGTGCCAATTGTAACGCTAAGGAGACCATCAGTTCGCATCTTGATCCATTCGTCGGTCATTCAGCCTTTCCTTAGGAGATCCTTACAATTATATTACATTTACAAATACCCCCTTCTTTAAAGCTTCATATCTTGTTGTTCCATCAAGATACCTATCCCTATCCATATACCCACCTATCAATTCATATATACAATACATACAACATACAGACAGACAGACAGACAGACACCCACACACACCCACACACACCCACACACACCCACACACACACACAAACCCATATATACTTGTTTATATTTTACTCCAAATACAATAAAATTAATTGTCCTCCATCATCCACATCATCAACTTCTTCTACCTCTTCCAGATAAATAAATAAAAAGGATCATTCACTGGGAATATATCTTCAACCGGAGATTTCCACTTCCATTTCTATTGAGTTTCGTCATCTTCCCCAATAAAAGAGAAAAGAGGAAAAAAAGACCAATCATTTTGTTCTCTATTGTCGCACATTGAAAACGTACAAGCATTTTGTTTTAAACTATTTTTGCGATACCACTGTTCTTGTTCTTTGAAGAGTGTCTCTCGCGTGTCCACCATAAGGTAGCTTTCCCCGCATCAAGGTTGCGCCTCGCTCATCTTCGATCCCTCGAGACTATTTACAAGCCTACTTTGCCGCAGCAGAACTTCAAAACTTTCTTAGAACCTCCCACCTTCTTTTAAAGACAACCTCTACCCCTCAACTCTTTTCGAATTTACGATATCACACATAACAAATTTATCTTGACAACCAATACTTTCGCACCGTCAAGATATATATTCATCCCATTCTTCCCTCCAGAGATTCATCGGTCAATCTCGAAATCTCGAAGAGAGAGAGAGAGAGCTTTGGCCTTTCGTGCCTTTATCCTTCCCACGACAATGGGCTACGCATAGTCCGGGCGACACAAAGCCTTTACGAATTCGAAATCCCGAACGCATATGCGCAGAAGCTTTGACATTCGATCTTCGGTTTGTTACAACAACTGCTAGTTCAAGCGATTATTGAGAAATAGACGGTATTTGAGTTTGGGTTTCATAAATTGTGAAAGAGAGAGTGGCATTAGAAGAGTTTCATCATTTCATGCGACGGCTGCGATTAAAGCAGGTAGGTGAGCTTCTGCCATACCAAATCCTTCCACCTCAAATCCCTCCACCTCAAACCCCTAGCCTTGACGGGGATCTCTGGTGGAGAATTGTTCCTATTGCGACTCTCGAGATTTGGAGCTGACATGTCAATCTACTAGATAAACAGATAATAATTGTATTTTGAAAGTTGGGTTCTTTGGTTGGATTTATCTCACATCCGGTGAGTTTATACTTTTTCTATATCGAAACAGAGATATCCGACCGAGTACTTCTCGCATCCGAATGGTCAGATCGAAGTGTGCATTCGACGACAACAATTGTTCGGGATTGGCGCAATCAAATATCAACGTCTAGGAACGTTGTTGCTTGTGGTATACGATATTCTGAATTCGAAGAGGCACTTGTCTCGTATACCAAAACTACATTGCGACGTCTGGAAGAACATTCTTGAGGTTAAATTTCAGAACAAGACCGATATATATCTCTCGGCCAAATGAGGGACCTACCTAGGCAGAACTCTCTAATTCACTTACCGGCTATCGACGCAACCGAGCTTGGAAAGTCGATATACGGCACAGAAGAGATGAATTCTGCCTCGTGGTTTCTTGATCCCTCGTCATATTATGCTACCTGGTTTTGACACGTTTTTCGATCTTCTCGATTGCCACGGACTTGTTTTTCTTCTTCTTTTTTTCTTTCTTTCTCCAGACTGTTTTTGTTGTTTACTGACAAAGATATCACACAGTATTAGTTATTCGTTTCTTGTGCGTCAGTATCGAAAGTCGGTCCGCTTCTTCTCCTTGCAGGGCACACCAAAATTCACTCACGTTCGCATTTAAACTTGAGCCTCTTTCAGCTCTTACATCTAGACATTCGCGCCCTGTTTTCTAGCAGACTGGTTTCCTATTCTTGGTCAATTCTACGAATTCGCTTACTGTCGACTTAACCCCCCTTTTGCCAAGCAGACTCTATCAAGTAGTTTGGTCATTTTCAAAAACTACTTTAATAAGCACCCCGATTATAATTCTAGAAAAGACTCTTTATTGGTTTGGTAAGTTTTATCATTATATTTTGCTTTCATCCTTCGATCTATCCGATCGTCTTTTGCTTTGGTTACGATCTATTGCGCATATTCAATTCTAGATTGATTGCATGAGAAGCTGCTGGGATTCTTTCCTGTGGCTTTCTTTGTGTTGTGATACCCCCTCTTTTTCAATATGATTCACTTGCTCACTCTCCTACTTACTTGAGTATACGGGTTCCAGCTTTGAACATTCAAGGACAGCCTTTGCAAGTTGCAGTAGCACAAGTCTTACACAACATACAATTCTTTACTTTAGATCTCAATTTAGAGCAGCTCTCTTCTTTTCCCTCTACAGAGAACTAACAGTTTCTAGTTAGACGCCATGAGTTCAAGCAATAATAAAATCGGAGCCGGTAGCAAGGCCAACCAATCTAATCCTTCATCTATGACATCAAGTAATCCTTCCCTCCTCCTTGGCAAATTCAATGAGCGCCGCTCAACACCGGATTCGGAGGCTTTGGCAAGCTCCGATGATGAACCTGATAGACAGGACATTCAACAGCCAGTCAATCCACCTCAAAAGCCACCTGCACGACGTGCCTCGTGGTTAAACGATACACCTCAAGCTGGAACTCAGCCACGAAAGGGCTCGTTCGCAAGTAGCAGCATGTCTCCAACAGCCTCACATCCTAGTACACCCTCGACTGAGTCCAACGTCTGGGGTTCTCATGCTCAAGCGGCAGCAGGTCGAGGACATACAAGTACGAGCTCATTCCATGGGGTAGTGCTATTTGGAACAGCGAGTCGCGTAAAGAGCCACCCTCTAGATTGACTGAAGTATTACCATCTCCAACTTCTATGCATCCACCAGGCTCAGCTGGCAATGGATACTTTCCTAATGAAATGATGAGTCAACGAGACCCCTCAGCGAATCAACCAATCCCATTCGCAATCCCTCTCCATCCCACTCCTAAGACATACCGATCCCAATCGTACTCCGTCGGTCAGCTCGACCCAGATACAAGTGCTGGCCCACCGCCAGCAGCTGTTCCGGCGGCTTCCAGTCGGGGACATAGAATTGGACATTCCGGATTGCAACATCGTCCATCCCGGCCAAGTATGTTGAGCGAAATGACCGAGGGTGGTCTTGGAAAAGTCAAAGAAGTCGAGGATGATGATGATGAGAGTATTAACAGTTCTTCCCATGGTGTTCAAATTCAATCTCAAGAAGCCAAGACTATAGAATTATTAGCTAAAGAAAATGCAATGTTACGACAACAGCAACAATATCAGAATCTGCGCCTCCGACCACGATCTTCAACCTCCAATCCTTTTGGCCTTGGTAATGGTTATGGCTTGCAGGAAGAACCTCTACCTGAAGAGTCAGATTATGCAATTGACGAACTTGATGAGCTCAACGATTTACAAGACCCATCCAAAGCGATGTTAGGGCGAAGAATGAGCGAGTATGGTATTGCTGGCGCTCAGAGAGCCTCACCATACACTCTCGAAAACAGAAAGCTGGAGAATGTGAAGAAAGCTTATTGGCAAAGCTCACTTGGCTTCGGCGGACTGTCCGATATTCCGCAAAGCAGGCGCCACTCTTTCGCTGATATACCTGCTCGACAAGGTTCTGTTAGTTCGACGGTTGGTGAGTCGATGTCACAACTCGATGCATCTATCCACGAGAGCCTGTCGTCAAATGCGGGTCGGTATAATGAAAACAATGGCTACTCCACTACTGACCATGGTAAGCAATGTTCATAAATACCTTAAGTGCCTTTGAGCTGTAGGCAAGCATGAACTTACATCTTTATACTAACTGAATGCAGCAGCTTCATACTTCGGAAATCTTGCTCAGCCAGCTCCTTCTCCATTCAATCCTTCTGTATACCCTTACGGAAATGTCAATCAATACTCTACTGGCCGCCCTGCATCACCTCATCGAAGCATGTATGGCGTTCCACAGCCTCGACACAATCAACTGCTATATATTGTGTTGTTCAAATGTTCGCGCGCAGATGTGTTCTATGTTCAAGAGGGCACTGGTCTCTCTGTCAAGCCTGGAGATCTTGTGATTGTTGAGGCTGATCGAGGAACCGATCTAGGCACCGTTGCCAAAGATAACGTGGACTGGGCTACTGCCAAGGAACTCAAAGAGCATTATGCCGAAGAGCACTACAAGTGGCTCATGATGTACTCCCAGGGTGCTGTAGGTAATACTGATGGAACTGGTGCTGGTTTAATGGCTGCTGCGAATGGTATGCAAGGAAGTGCTGTAGGCGGTATGGGTCCACCAAGTCAGCACGGCATGCAGGAACCTAATCCAGGAGAGATCAAACCCAAGATCATCAAGCGCCTTGCTCAAAATCATGAAATTCAAGCTTTGCGTGATAAGGAAGGAAATGAAGCAAAGGCTAAGCGTGTTTGTACGCAGAAGGTGAAAGAGCATGGTCTACACATGGAGATTCTAGATGCCGAATTTCAGATGTAAGTCAACTTATGATTACGCCAGCTATTCCGATGACATAAACTTACATTCAAATTTAGGGATTGGAAGAAGCTTACGTTTTATTACTTCGCTGATGCCTATATTAACTTCAATTCGCTCGTTACGGACTTGTTCAAAGTATACAAGACGAGAATTTGGATGTCTGCGATTAATCCTGCTTCTTTCGCAAGTCCCGCACTTGGCTTGCAAGCACCAAGCGGTATCGGACCTGGTGCTGTAGGTGTAAACAGAACTACACAAAGTGAGCGTCGACCACAACAGGCCGAGCAGCCACAAACATACAACACAACGCAAGCAGGCCGAGGTTATCAAGGTGTCTTTGCACAATCATTTCAGCCAGCTATGGACAGAAGTTCTGCAGCTGCTCCTGGTTTTCAGCCTCAGGGATATACTTATGGATATTCTCCATTTGGTTCTACCAGAAATGTCGGTGCTACGAGCGCTTATGGTACTTCAATGATTGACCCATATTCTGGATTCGCAAATACAGCAGACTATCAAGCACCCGGACGATTCCCCTCTCCCCATGGCACTACCCCAACTCATGATGGTAGCGAATACGGTCGACAAACTGGACTCGTTGGTCAATCTGATGGTTGGATCGGAGCTTTCCAGGGCTTGTCTATGGGAACTCGTTAAATACATGTTTTTAACAGAACATACGCACTTTTTCGACCTTTTCCCTTGGCAAATGATAAGCAAGTTCATAACAATCATAACCCTCGCCTCTGGTTTTGATTTCCTCTTTCATTTCCAGATGGTGAGTTATCATCGGCACACTCCTACAGAACTGGAGACTAGATACATTTTTCTGTTGTAATATACCACAGATGCCCTTCCTCATCGGCCCTGTTTCCTGATTCTCTACATGTTCTAGATGAACATACTATCTACACATTCATTTATTTCATTTTCACATTGCGTTGCGCCAGGCGGCACATTGTTTCTATGGGTCGGGAGATACTAAATACTACGAAGACATACTGGAATAACGTCTTCTGGAATACTACACTTTTATTGCAATTTGATCATAGAGGTTAATTGAGAAGGTTTCATTCGGAATGGGGATTCTTCTGGATTTACTACATAATCGGAGACAGGCATCGGATTCGTAGACAACATACTGGACACACTTTTTCTACTTCTTCAATTCGTCGATACCATTTTTGTTCCACAGTTAGTCAGGAGGACTACACCTTTGCGTCTTCGGGACCCTGACGCCTTACCACGACTTAACGAGTAAAAAAACAACAATTTTCAAGAACTCCATTGATAGATAGATCTTTCAAAATACGGCGGTGTCAAGTGGGAAAAAAGAAATTGGGTAAATTTGCAAAGGATAATGGATGGATGCATGTTTTTTTCATTGCTTTGTGGTTTTTGATTCTTTTTTTGGCCTGATTTGTTACCTTTTTGTGCCGTTTTTTGTTCTTCTACGATTCAAGGAGGCGGGGAATCGAATTGTCGATGGGATGAAATGGAAACTTCTTGATGCATGTTTACAGGTATTAGGGTTATGGATAAGGGAATCGGTAGCAAGAATGGAATTCATACACTCGTTTGTTTAATTTGTATCGTGGCGGTCAATGTGTGATGTGATATGACATGTATGCTTGTGATGGAAACACAGCACATATGAGCAGGTTGAACCGAAACACATAAGTAGTCAGCAATAATCTCTATGGCTCACTCATCAAACTTACAGCCTCTCTCCTTCATAAACCAAATACGGATTCCTTCTCGTCGACAAACACGCCAAATCGAAAGAGTTGAGCATACCAGCATACCGGCACCCCGTGGTGTAGCGGTTAGGAGTGTCACAGCGGGTCTTCTAAAACCCCCCCGTCATGGGTTTTTTCCTCCCGCCCCTAATAAGGGGCGGCAAGGTTTTGCTGGTCTGATTTTGAGATGGAGATGGAGATTTTGGTTTTGTATATACAATATGATGGTTGCGCAAGTTAGATTTGAAATAGGAAATAAGAGGGCTTGTTCTTAAGTGGCCCTTCCTTTTGCAGATTTTTCTGTTATCTTGCTTGGGAAGGAAGTGAGTGCAGGAGTGAGGTGAAAGTTTCGCGAGCGGGGAGGAGGCGGTTGAGGGATGGACCCACTTTGTTTCTCTTTCTCTTTCGACTTCTCTTTCTCTTTCTCTTTCACCTTTGACTTCAACTTCGAATCCGATCTTAAATTCATTTCGAAATTTATGTTTATCTTCGGGAAGGCTTGATTGATGTCTACTTGAATGCTTCCTCAATATCGATTTACTCGTGTCGGAATTTTATCTCTCGTTTCATTTCATCATCTTGATTCTTGATTGAATCTCGTGGAATGCGGATTCGGATTCGTTTGCACGCAATTCAACTTCCTTCATATACATATACACATATACATATATTTTACAACGATGGTGCGCAAATCAAAACGCAAGTCTGAAGGTGAGTTGCTTGTTGATTCCTTTATGCTTGGGATGTTTTATTTTGATGTTTTTTATTGAGAATTGAGGATTGAATGTGGAGTTTTCTAACTTGAGGTTTTGTTGTGGGAGAAGGTGATTTGCCGAATTCGAGGTTGAAGGCTCGGAAGAGTGGTGAATATAGAGGTGGATTGGATGGTGAGGAGCGAGAGGAGGGGCTTGGTGGGGTTGCGGATTGGGTTGATGGAAAGGGGGGAGGAGGGGTGGTAGAGAGAAAAAGGATTTCGGTGGTGTTGCGGATCAGTTCGATAAGAAGGGGTTGAAGAGAGATGGTAGAGAGAAAAAGAAGGAGAAGAAAAAAGAAAGAAAGTCTGAGCCTGCGAGGATTGGTGGAAGGGAATTGGGAGAGAGGGAAGGAGATGATGAGGATGAAGATGATGGAGATGAGGATTCGGGACAAGAGGCTAGCAAGTATGTGGAGTGTTTGAGATGCTTACTGCGTGCAGAGTGTGTACTGACTTCTTTTTGACAAAGTGAGTTTCTGGAGCTCGATAATCTTGAGAGGAAGAAAAAGAAGAGCGCCGAGAGAGCGAGAGTGCAGTTTATGGAGAAATTTATTGGGGCCGTGGAGAAAGGTGTGAAGGACTTCAAGGAATCGGCGGTAGAGTTGGAGAGAGAAGCGTGAATATATTTCCTGGCTAAGAATTTGAACTGCACACTGACTCTTCTAGTTCGGTTGAAAATAAGTACTTTCTGGAAGGCTTTCATGCTGCCTATTCTTTGTCGGCGCCATTCAAAACCGTCTCTTATGATTTCTCTTTGAATCATAGAAGAGGTCGAATCATGATTACACGGGCGTTGGAGTTAAGTTCGCAATTTGATAACCTGGCAAAGAAGGATATCGCAAAGGAGTTGGCAGGATTGTTTGGCAATGAATGGAGCAAAGAGGATGAAGAGATTGCTAAGATGCTTGAACTGGGAAAAATGGTTGGGCTGAATAAATTCGAGTGTATTGTGAATGCTTCAAAGCCGGAGATCTTGGAGACGGATGCACTCGAAGTTGCGAAAAAATTCTACCCAGATGTTGAAGAGGAAAACAATGCTGGGTGGGGCAAGGAGGCGAAGAAACATGAGAGAGCTCATAAGAAATTGCTTAAAGCTTTTGAGGCTAGGAGTTGAGTGTGTTGACTCTGATGGGAGAGGGTTAGGGAATGTAATGACATGGGAGAGTTATGAATTTGCTCAATATCTTTTCAAACTCCGCTCTCTTGGCTGTTAGGACATGGAGCCGCATTGTAGTATGTATACTATCTTGTTTTTCACCATCTTTGAGATATAATCATTTAGTAGCTACAAAATGACTGTGTACGTATGACCTAGCGAACTTTGCTGAGTATCACATGGACATGGACGTGAATGAAGAGAATTGAGCTAAATACTTGACTGATGTAAGGAATGCTACTTTAGTCCTGATGATATCCCGAGGGTAATGAGGGAGTGCAAGCGAAATTTACTTGAGGAATATGCTTTTCAGGGTGAAGGATACGATGTGGTAGATTGGGTTGTAGAAGGAGATGAGGTTTCAGAGAAAGCGAGGTTATGACTTATGAGAGCTGGGGGAGTGAGTAGAGTATTGCGTTGTTGGTTATATGGTGTGTCAGATGTGGTGGGTGGGTTAGATGATGGTTATTGTGTGCTACTCTTTTGTTGGCTGGTGGTGGTGATGTTGTTGTTGATGTTGATGCTAATGTTGGTACTGATAGTGACTGCAGAGTATACAGTAGTCTAGTTGACTTGCTTTGTTTGTAACGAGGTGAGGTGAGAGGGAGGGGTTAAGTGAAGTATTGCGATTTTTGTATGGGGACTAGGGGATGGGGAGACGGGGAGAAAAGAGGAGGAAAAGAGGGGGGATGGGTAGTGGGCTTTGAGCTGAGGGGAGGAGGAGACATGAGAACGGGATGCATGGAGAGAAGGGATGTTTGGAGTGGAGGGAGAGAATTGGAGTTGAGCTGAGATGGAGGGGAATCTTGTGGGTGGGTATATGAGGTTACTACTTGAGTGCTGTGAGATTGTGGAGAGGGAGGTTCCAGAAGTGTTGCTCTAGTTCTGTTTGAGTACTGGTGGATAGGTAGGTAAGCTGCTCCGAGGGAGACTATATGTAGACGGTACACTAAATCACTCAGATACCTAGTAGATTGTGCGTTGAGAACCTTTGTATTTCAACGTGCGGATGCAATCAGTATAAATTTGCATGCTAATGTATAGTTTATTGTAAATTGAAAGCTTCCAAATACATCTACAAAAGTTTCAATTCATGATAAAAATTGTCTGACTGACTTGACTTTGAATTCCAAGTTGAGGATGTATTTTTGGGATCACGGTTTTTTCGTTCTACTGGACGTTGGAGTGGAGGGGCCGGCTGGTGGATAATGAAGTGGGGATTTTTTTTTGATATGCTGCCTCAGGCTGGAAAGAAAATTTACCCGAACGCGCTAAAAAATCGCACATTGATTTTCACAAAATTGATTCTCAAGAACTTTTTCCTTCTAGACAACACGACAATCGACGCCGCCGACAACTCCCAAAATCAATCAAGGTAAGCAAATCGAGTTCGTTCGAATACAGAATTCAGATAAAACATCTGCGACGAGGAAGATACTTCTAGAATTGCAGATGTTCATCGGAATTGGGTTTCTTCGATTTTTCTTCGCAGCTCTACCACAAATTCAATTTTGATGGTACTGACATGGAACTTTGCTAACGTTCATTCTCCCCAAACAGATGGGTGCTCTTAAATATCTCGAGGAAATTCAGAAGAAGAAGCAATCTGATGTGCTTCGATTCCTTCTCCGTGTCCGATGCTGGGAGGTAAGATAAAAACGACCCCAAGAGACGATCTCGATCGACTTCAATTATTCGAAAATTTGGTCTTTGGACAAGCAAATTGGAATATTGTGGACATCTTTGATGTCTCTGCTATACACTCGTTGAACTTAGCTGAGAGTGCATAATATAGCTCCGACAATTGAACGTCGTTCACCGTGCTTCTCGTCCATCCCGCCCAGACAAGGCCCGCCGTCTCGGTTACAAGGCCAAGCAAGGATACGTTATCTACCGTGTCCGTGTTCGTCGTGGTGGCCGCAAGCGCCCAGTTCCAAAGGGTGCCACCTACGGTACGTTCTATCCCATTTGCGACAGAAGGAAAAGATGCTTCCGTTCAGAAAATTTGCATTTACTAACCCAAATTTCGCATTATAGGAAAGCCAACCAACCAGGGAGTTAACCAACTCAAGTACCAAAGATCCCTCAAGTCCACCGCTGAGGAGCGTGTCGGCCGTCGTTGCGCCAACTTGAGAGTTTTGAACTCCTACTGGATCAACCAAGACTCCACCTACAAATACTTCGAGATCATCCTCGTTGACCCTCAACACAAGGCCATCCGTCGCGATCCCCGTATCAACTGGATCGTCAACCCAGTCCACAAGCACAGAGAATCTCGTGGATTGACCGCCACCGGAAAGAAGTCCCGTGGTCTCGGAAAGGGTCACGGCTTCAACAAGACCACTGCTGGCCGCAGAAAGACCTGGAAGAAGCACAACACCCTCAAGTTGCAAAGATACAGATAAATGTAATCAGGGGTTGGTTAGGTGTTGTTGCTTGCTTGGGCAATGGGATGAATGGATTATTTTATGGCCTCATGGCGCACTGGTAGTTAATGCAAAAATGCATAGCTTTCCCATCATACCCAAAACTTTTATGAATTTACGAATCTTCTACTATGTGAAAGTATCATGGATTTTTGGGATATCTTGTTCTGTGACCAATGAAAATGTGAATACATGGGATGACTTTTCAATACAATCTCGCTCTTTCAGGAAGCCAAGAAATGATTAAGCTATTTCCCTACACATTCTTCTCTTCCCCATATATATTTCATAACAAATTTTAAAATCTCATCACGAACATGTAATGTAACACCACACACTTCCAAATCCTAACTTCTTCTCAATAAACTCCGAGGTCGTTTCAACATGTCTCGTATTCATTCTTCCTCCATTTCTTCTTGTCAACCAGGGGAGATTTTCTTATTTCTTGGCAAAGGAATAACATTTCCGTTTTCAAGCCATTCCAATTATGCATAAACTAGGTACTATACTACACTATTTTGACACTACCACTACCACTACTAGGTCGTACATCAAATCCAGGGAGCCAGGCATTTCTTGTGGGGAAACCTACCTTAGCCCACATCCATCCCAATATGTACTGAGATAAACCTGCAAGATTAACAATATAAATTTATACGATAACGGTAAATAACCAATCCATGCTTGTTGTGAGAGGAGATCCCCCTTTGGAGATTTAGGACGAAGGTCAAAATCTAATGCAACATTCACTACTCGTAATTTTAGATGTTAATTTCATGAGAGTACTTTTAGGAAAGAGCCCGAGACCACTTGCCCCTAAAGTTCAAGCACGAACGAACGGACGGACTCTCGATTACGAAAACAAAAGATAGCTTGGATATACCACACGAGAGAGGAACTGAACTACTGCCCTCGCACAACATTTACAATTGATTTCGCAAACTACTTTTGGAGGACCCGATGGTCAAACTAGAACGCCTGCACTTCGCAGACATCGTTTGAAAATAATAAAATGGCACCTTGGTCTAGCCGCCTACTTGCTTCTTCGAGCGCACGGATCGATTCTGGCTCGAGCATTGCTACCGTTGGACCAGCACCTGATTCGCCGACGAAAATAAGAGGGAGAGCAAAGATTACGGAGGCAGATATCTTGGATAATGCTTATGGTATTCCGACATTGACCACGGCCGGCCGGCCAGGTCCCTCGGGTTCGAATTCCTCGAATTCCTCCAAACCGACTTCGAGCCATGGGAGATCTATGAGCCATCCTTTCCCGTCGCTGTTTAATAGCAAGAAGAAGGTGACCGCGCCGACACCACCTGGAATTGCGTTTTTTGATGACGACGATATATCACCGGAGCATAATACAGGGGCTAGGTCTTCGAGGGTGCCAGACAAGGATTTTTTGACGGGAAAGTGTATGACTTGCAATTCGAGCGTGAGTTGGCCGAAAGAACTTCATACGTTTCGATGCAAAGTTTGTATGACAGTAAACGATCTTCAGCCATACACTCCACCTCAGAATGATGGACTCAGAGTGGCAGGAGGCGGTAAATCTACGACTTACTCTGGGTTGAGTAAACCCCAATTCTCTAGAGGTATGCTATGCGCGGGATGATCTATTATAGATCTCATATCTGACCTTTACAGTGGCGCCATTATCTGTTGAGAAAACTCGAAGAATTGCGGAACGATGTGTAACTACCTACCTGATCAATCGACTAAAGCATGACGAAGCCGATGCCTCTAATACACTGTCAAGTTCGCCAAGGTCACCTACATTTGAAACGACGGAATCCTCACAAGAATATCAGTATCCCAGACATTTCAATCAACCTGGTTCACAAGCACTTCCCATTAGACCCCCTCCTCCTGGACGCGGAAGCAGTTCTGGAGATCGCCCAAGTATAGACGCTCAAAGACGGCCAGGTTCGCGTTCAATGCCCTACTCAACTTCATCTCCTGGCAGTTTCCTTGGCGCCCATATGGAAAAACGTGATCGAATGGGCTCTGGTACTTACTCCAAACAATTGGCTAGTCAACCGCCAAGTAGAAGTCCTCCACATCCACCGGGAAAATTCGACGAACCTATGCACGGAAGACAAGATAATGTCACCAGAAACCTCTTTAGACCCTTGGAAGAATATATTACAGCATCATTTAGCCAGTTCGATTGTATCAATACTTCGTTTAGTACTATGCGACAACATCCCAATCCTAGGGCAGGAAGTCAGAGTGGTCTAAAGAATTTTATGGCCACTATTCCAGACGAAAATGATCCGCAGTCAGAGACTCCTTTGGAAGAACTTGATCCCCGAATGTTGATGTTGGGAGATATTGCAGAGAACGGTTCTTGGTGGACTGGAAATCAGAAAGAACCCCCTGAAAAAACTCGCGGCCAACGACCTGTTGAAACGATACGCACGAATCCGCATTGCGATCTTACTACAGTCAAATCACCTCGTATTGACTGGCCTGATCTCAATGAATGGTATCATGTTGTATCGAATCCAGGAAGGATTTGGCATCGCAAGCTGGATGAGTTGATATCACGTCGATCCAGCCCGGTCATTCAAGCGCCCACTGATGGCGAGCTTGCCGAAATTGAGGATACAATCACAGAGGCTCAGTTGCATCTTCAGAGAACTTTATTGAAGGCTACAGAAGGTCTATTGAAACGCCCCGGACGTCCTTTACAGGAGCCTGATAATCTCCGATTTCTCTTGATCATCTTAGCCAATCCTCTTCTGTACCCTGGAAACGGTAACACTCCAAGAAATCCAGCGCCGAGAGCGCCACCGAACGACCAGAGACCGGAAGCTAGTGATCTCAATGTGACGAAAACTAGAGGTCAACCTTCGTCTTCTTCTAAACAACCGCCGAATGCTACAAAAGGAGCGTCTGGCCAACACTCAGGAATCATCAAACGTATTGTGGGACTGCTTTCCAATACTCCAAATGAATGCCATCATCATATAGTTTCGTGGTTCGCTAGATATCCAGAGGGTCATTTCCAGCGTACCACAGAGTTGGTCGGCAGCTTTGTCACTTATAGACTTACCAGACAGCATGGGAAACCTCGCGAGGCTGATCGACCCGACCCGACTTCTGGCTTAGTCCCTCATATGAGTTCTAGAGAATCCCATAATAATGCCGCAGCTTTTCACGCGGCTCTTCAAGCTGGGCAGAGTACCAATAAGAAAAAGGAGACGAAGCAGAAAGCTGTTGTATATAGTGATGATTGGCAGATCAGGGCGGCTGCCAGGGTGATGGCACTTCTTTTCTCAGCCAATAATAGTGGGTTGCATAGAAAAGGCAAGTTACTCAGTAGCGTTCAATCGCCAGCCGAGTATCTGTCAAAAAGTACGGAACCTAGTATTGGAACTCCGATCAGAGCTCTGGCCGCACACGGACAGATGTTACCGACAAGCCACTTTTACAACACCTTGCTCGATTATTCCGATCTTGTTGCTGATTTTGAGGCTTGGGAAAACAAGCGTAGCAAGTTTGCTTTTTGCCAATATCCTTTCTTTCTTAGTATTTGGGCAAAAATTCAAATCATGGAGCATGATGCTCGTCGTCAAATGGAAGTGAAGGCGAGAGAGGCGTTCTTTAATAGTATCATGACACGTAAAGTCGTCAGTCAGAATCTTCTTTTGCAAGTCAGACGAGAGTGCTTGGTGGAGGATAGCTTGAAAGGGGTTAGTGAGGTTGTGGGAACCGGTGGTGAGGAGATTAAGAAGAGTTTGAAGATAGAATTTAAGGGCGAAGAGGGTATTGATGCTGGTGGCTTGAGAAAAGAATGGTTCCTTCTTCTTGTTAGAGAAGTTTTCAATCCTGATCATGGTATGTATCTCCTCCGATGTGATTCAGACTGTAAATTAACAATAAGCAGGCATGTTCTCATACGATGAGGACTCTCATTTCTGTTATTTTAATCCTAATAGCTTTGAAACAACCGATCAATACTTTCTTGTTGGGGCTGTACTTGGTTTGGCTATCTACAATTCAACTATTCTCGATGTGGCGCTGCCTCCTTTCGCTTTCCGAAAATTACTCGCCGCTGCCCCAGCTGCAGCACCCGGTGCAACATCACATGCGAAGCCTTCTATGACATATTCTCTGGAAGACTTGGCCGAATTTAGACCTGCTCTGGCTCATGGGCTGAGACAACTCCTTGAGTTTGATGGAGACGTTGAGGAAATATTTTGTCGCGATTTCGTAGCAGACGTTGATCGCTATGGACAAACAGTCCAAGTACCTCTCTGCCCCGACGGCGACAAGAAACCAGTGACGAACTCCAATCGAAGAGAATTTGTGGATCTTTACGTGCGATATCTTTTAGACAGTGCCGTAGCTCGACAATTTGAACCCTTCAAACGTGGATTCTTTACCGTTTGTGGAGGAAACGCTTTATCACTTTTCCGACCCGAAGAAATTGAACTCCTCATTAGAGGCTCCGATGAGCCACTAGATATAAGTTCTCTCCGCGCCGTCTCAGTGTGTGAAAACTGGGGACCAAAAGATGCAGCAGAGCGCGAACCAGTCATTCAATGGTTTTGGGAATCCTTTCAAAAAGCGGATCCAAAGGATCAAAGAAAACTTTTGAGCTTTGTTACAGGCAGTTCTTGTATTCCGGCAATGGGTGCAGCTAGTTTGGTTATTAAATTGAATTGTTTGGGGGATGATAGTGAGAGATTCCCGGTGGCAAGGACGTGCTTCAATGCGTTGAGTTTGTGGAGGTATGCGACGAGGGAAAAGTTGGAGGGAAAACTTTGGAGAGCAGTCCATGAGAGTGAGGGATTTGGATTGAAGTAGTGAGGTACAGTTGTTGGAGTGAGTGGTTTGTGTGGGTAGGGAAATGATCAGAATAGAAAGAGAAGGGAATCATTTTAGATAGAGTACAAGTCATGCTAACGTTTGGTGGAGATGGGCGTCTTTATTTTGTATTCAATGGAGCCCCAAGGTTTTGGTGTCGGCATTGGCGTTGGTGACTCGATTGTCATTCAGGAACTGGACAATTGAGTAGGTATTTGCATGAGTCTTGGAACTGGACTGAACTTGATCCCGGCAAAGATTGCATGCCTTTTACATGAGAAGCAGAGCCATTCATCGAAATTAGATGAGACGAGATAATATCTCTTCGTTAATGATCATTCATATATCACTTCTCTCATCCCTTATCTGCGTGACTATTACTATAACCGTATTTTCCCATATACAATGATGTATCAAATACCTTACTTGTTTCTAGTCATTTTGATTTTCATTTTTCCCATCATGTGAGTATTCCTCCTCAACGCCTGGTATATATACAGCATATTCTACACCCATGTCCATTCATTCTCGTAATTCTCCTTTTCTTCCTCCACGTCCCGTGCCCATCCATCGTCGTTGTCTCGCTCCATTCTCTAATTATCGGCAGAAGCAGCAGCGACCTCACCTCTCGCCTGATCCAAAATCGCCTTCTCAGCCCGAATCTTTTCATTAACAGCCGCACTCAACAGCGAATCCTGTTGACTCTTCAATTTCATCGCCGCTAAATCCTTCAACATCTGTTTCTCGGCTGCGGTGGGTAGAACTTTCTTAGCCTTCGTTAGTTCCATCAGATCAAAGAGAATGGCGTTATCGTCGCGGTGCTTGCATTCGATGGTTTTGGTGTAGGCTGTGGGAGCGCCTGGGGTGGAAGGTGCAGCGGGATTGGAGGCGGTGCTGTTTATGGGGGGTGGAGAGGAGGCGTGGGAGGCGTCGGTGAAGTGGATGGTTAGGGTTGCGGGGAGGGAGGTGTCATGGCTGCGGTTGACGGTCATGGGAACGGCGGGGTTGTGGTATTTGAGGCGGGGAAGGCAGTTGCGCCAGAATTTTCTGGGGGGGGAGAGGTTAGCTTTTGCGGTTGATATCTAGGAGAGGGGGGCGGGGTACGGGAGTAGGGGGACAGATGGGAAGTAGATGGAGGGGGAGGGGATATGTACTTTGGTCCGAGATGTCCATTCAGTCCAGCAGCAAAGTCCATATGTATTCTGGTAACTTCTGGTGGGAGAATCGCTGCGCCGGGTCCTAATCTTATGCCGAGTAACTGTGCAGAAGCAGGAGAGTCAATTTCGAATCTTCAAATAATGAATACCATTTATGGGGGAATCTTTACCTTCTATATTGCGAATTCTGTTAGCATCTGCGACCATTGCGAGAGAAATGTACGATTACTTACAGAGTTAAGCTTGGCCATGCGTTTTAGTAAGTTAACCATCTTGGATATGTGAAGGTCAATACAATAAATAAAATATACTGTATGAGATCGTGGGGTGAGGTTCGGAGGAAGCTTGACTTGTGAATATATTTCTGAGGTTTTGAGACTAGGATTTTGACCCCCTGTCGATAAAAAGTTCCGACCTCCGACCAAATTTATTTTTTGGTGGGATGAATGTCCAGCGAATTCGCGATCATTTTTAAGTACAATGCGCCCGTTCGATAATTGATATGCCACTCTCTAATTATGGAAGACTTGCCCTGAGATTCTCAAAGCAGGCGGAATGTGCGGTCGCTGAGATACCTACTTTTCTTTGCCCGCTACTTGCGCGAAATCTGCAATCCCCAAAGCTGGTACATAATCAACCGCGAAAGAGTGTTAGGATACAGCGAAGATATGTCCAGTCGCAAGCTCAAACCCAGGTTCAAGATACACCGGAATCTTCTGTTGCTTCCACGCAAGCTGTAGCAAGATTACCTTCACAATGCGCCGGATGCGGTGCATTATCACAGACAACAGTCGAAGATGAAGCGGGCTATTATTCGTTGACAAGGAGATCAGTTAAGGACTTTCTGGGGACCTCACACTCGGCGAAAAATACAAAAGCCACGGCAGAAGATGAGATAGTCAAAAAGGCCCTGGAAAACGTCGACAGCACGATTCTCGAGACATTGGGAATGGAAACCTCTTCGTCCGCGACTACATCCATAGAACAGCCAGTATGCGATCGATGTCACAATCTCAAAAATCACCAAACGGGTGTTTCTATTTATCATCCTTCCATACGAGCACTTCAACAAACGATCGACGAATCGCCATATAAATATAATCATATATATCATGTCATAGATGCTGCCGACTTCCCTATGTCTTTCATACCCGCTCTAAACAAGACGTTGAACTTGACGCCCCAGCGATCTCACAATCGTCGTTCCAGAACAGGAAAGTTCTACGGTGACAGGAAGATGGAAGTCGATTTTGTTATTACCCGGTCGGATCTTTTAGCTCCAACGAAAACGCTAGTTGATGGGATGATGCCTTATTTAACGAGTGTACTGAGAGACGCGTTAGGGAGAGCAGGAAAAGGGGTTCGCTTGGGAAATGTTAGATGTGTGAGTGCGGAAAGAGGGTGGTGGACAAAGAAGTTGAAGGAGGATGTTTTTGAAAGGGGAGGGGGAAATTGGATGGTTGGGAAGGTCAATGTGGGAAAGAGTCGGCTTTTCCATGAGATCTTTCCGAAGGGAAGGGGAGGGAATGAAGTGATTGTTGGAGAACCTCTTCCATTAGATGTCCTAGAAGATAGAAAAGAGGCGAAGCAAACCACTATCGGAGAATCTCCATCGATAGGTGCAAATATTGATAACAATATTACCCGTGAGGCTACTGTACCTATGGGTACCTTCAAAGCGATGGGGGTAGAATCAGAAAATGCGGACGAGGCACTGTCAGAGAATGAAACGCCTGATGATGAATCAAATGACACAATGTCACTTCTTCCCCCAGCACAACAGGAAACGGCGTATCCATCGATGCCACTCGTTTCATCCCTTCCTGGCACTACCGCATCACCAATTCGAGTTCCGTTTGGCAATGGAAAGGGAGAACTCATCGATCTCCCCGGAATATCACGAGGTGAACTTGAGCTTCATGTTCAACCGGAATATCGAAATTCGTTGGTAATGAAATCTCGGATTAAGCCAGAACAAAAAGTGATGAAACCTGGCCAGTCATTAGTACTAGGCGGCGGTCTCATTCGGATTACACCCACAGATCCTGATATCATTATGATGGCTTATGCTTTTACATCAATAAAACCTGATGCTCATCTGACGTCTACTGAGAAGGCCATCCTTATGCAAAGTAGAGGTAAAGAGCCATTTATTGATAACATTACAATTGCTGGAAGCGAAGAGAAGATTGCTTCGGCTGGTACTTTCCCTTTAAAATGGGATGTTACGAAGGCGCGTTTGAAGTCAAGCTCCACTGTATTGTCTGATAAAGGCAAGGTGGATGAACTCCCATTTCAAATCCTCTCTACAGATATTATAATCGAGGGGTGTGGATGGGTTGAGCTGGTCGCCCAGGTTAGCAAAAGACGTCTCGTGAAGACAGATGCAGCCGAAAGTAATACTGCAAACGACACAACCTGGGCATGGGGAGATGAGGAAGAAGCAGCGGACGAAAAAGCATGGCCATCTGTAGAAGTGTTTACTCCCGAGGGCAAATTCATCGCTGCTAGAAGACCTATGAATGCATTCATGCTTAATGCTAAGCCGCAGACGAAAACTAAAGCTAGACCGAGGCGTAGCATGAAAGGTTTTGAGAAGTCGAGGAAGGCTAGAGCGAGGGCAGCGGGAGCTTAGGAGTTACATGATGAGCATAATAGGCAGGCGCTAATGTTAAAATACCCCTCACAATATAGTCAATGGAAAATTAATCACTGTGCATGCTTTCTCAATTGGGATGTTCAATAGTCTGAATCAGCAGACATGATGTGAGTTTTTATCTTTGAGATCAATTTTGTGTTTTGAACGGATCCAATAATCTATAAGAGGGCTCGTTATGTTATTTTGACGAATTTGAATATGTTAAATGGATGCAAGCAAAGAAAGGTCTTTTTATAGATCTCAATCCAGACTCACCCGAACATCCATTCTCAGTATAACTATATGAGAAGTATATGAAAGAACATTCCACCCAGATGCATTCTTACCTTACGTCTCTTTCCCCCTCTCTCATGCAGTTTCTGATACCTGCTCTTGCCTCGCCCAGAGTGTTCGATTAATCATCTCCATGGAAAAAAGGAAACAACTATATTTATCCATTTGTTTAAATATTCGTCTTTTCCTCTCTTCTTCTTCTTCTTCTTCTTCTTCTCCTCTACTTCATATACAATATATCATATATTAACAGCGAATAACTTATATACATCTATTTTATTTTTTGGATCTATATCAGCGATTCTTCACTTACTTGCCGACCTCACGCCGTTTCAATATTCGTGTCTGGCTTCGTACGAGTCTATCGATTGGTATCTGTCGGTCTGCTTGACTACCTTGTTCCTGGGTTCCTCCTCTCCTGTTGTGCAGTATTCGGATATATTCGGACACATCCAGTCGCCTAGACAATTCTCGTCAGACAAGACTCCTGATCGACTGTGACCATGGCGCTCACCGACGGAGAGTCTGACAACGAGAGCGTCCATCCGCCAGATTCTCCCAAGCTTTCTGCTGCTGCGTCCGAAAGCCCCCAAGGTTTAGTGGAAGACATGGCGGCATATGATTTTGATGTTCGTCACACTTGTAAGGGTAGAAGTTAGTATCTGCTTCGCTGTTCAATTGGCTTTAGAGGCGTAGCTGCTAATCAGTATTTTAGAGATCACATCGTGGGCTCCACTTTCACGTAGAATAGTCAGGAATCATAAAGTGGGAAAAGAATGTCCCGCAGGTTGTAAATTTTCTGTGGAATATTGCCTACTCGCATCGGAACTCTCTGATGAGTCTAAGGAAAGGAAAAGGAACTGTGAGGCTTGTTCATGGGAACTCTGAAAAGAACAAGTGATCAGGTCCAAGATGGTGTGGTGGAAGAAAGGAGTGCAATTCCCTCAAAGAAACTAAAGCACCAAAAACAATTGTTTAAAGATTGTCAATAAACATAGCGAACATTCACTCAAGAGAGTTTGTAGCAAGTGAAATAATTAATTATTCACAACTTTAAACACAGTCTATGACTGTGATCATGTTGTGTGAACTTGAACTTAAACAATCACATTTACGTTTGTCGGAAAATTTATCAATCTGGTCGCAGTATTTAAACCACTCTCTCTTTGTCAACACCATTCCTACACTTTGCAAATATTTACACAAATCACTTTACAAAGCACATTTCAAATCTCTTTCAAAATCATAAGTTCTCTTGAGCTTACTCATAAACACCGTACAACTTTTCTTTTTCTTCTAGAAAGTTGATAAAAATGGAGGAATACAATTCTACCACATATCAGAACTCCTTTTCGACGCTCGGTAAGCATTTAACCCTGTCTTCCAACCCTTTTGGTAACATTTTTGACAGGCCCAGTCGAAGGAGAGTCCCTCAACACATCATGGCTCAATCATATATTTATCGATGAGCTATTTCTCAATACAGATTATCCAGAATTCAAATTCAACGTTGATAAAGCACTGGAGCGCGGTCTTATTTCTTCACTGAGCGTTGCTAGCCACATCACTACCATTTTTGGTCAGCAGGAAGGATATCAACTTGGAAGAGTGTTGGAATACCAGACAGTAACTTCTTCAACGGCTTTGAGGTGGTTGTTGATTGCATATGGATCGCATTCAACGCGGAAATACTTCGTGGATAGCTGTATGGATGTCGCGAAGGAGGTTGATGGACTGATGAAAACAGAGCCGGGACGAAGTGTCTATATGCAAGGTGAACAAATTCTTGCTCAACAGAACGCAGCAAAGGAGTGGTTGGAAAAGGTAAAGAAATGTGCGGGAGTGCTGAACTATTGGTTGCGAGTTGCTGAAGAGCAACTTAAATTCGATCAGCGCTGGGGCATAGCCAAGAAGTGGGTTTTGCATGGAGACGGTTGGGGACACTTGGAACAGATTTGGAGAACAGGAGTTATAGAGAAGTTGACGATGAATCTTCGGAAGGCGAAGTCGAGTATCGCGATCAAGTTGATGGAGGCAGGTCAGAATCCTGACTATAGTCTACAATATGTCAATTTGTTGCGAGATGCAGGTGTCGCAGATGGCGGAGAGCCAGAACGACTGGTATTCTGGCCTCAGACTGGCAAACTTGAATGGGTTTATCCAACGCAAGAGCCAAGAATTTCGAAGGTGGTAGCGGAGCAAATTCGGATGAGTGCAGGTCTTTTCTTGAATGACATTTCGCGACAACGTCAAATCGCTGCTGTACCAGAAATTGCTCCTTACGTAAAGCCGAACAGCCTCCCGGTTGAACAAGATACTCTTGATCAGCATCCTGCCCCTCGGATACTTATAAACGGACGTTCTGATCTTCAGGATGTTACTTCTCAAGGACTCCCTGATCGCTATACTACTACAGACTCAGAAATTGCTTCTCAAACAAGAATTGGAATTCCTCTTGTAGAACAAGAAACGGCACAGCAAACACTTCCAGGTCTCCCTAATAATGGCCGAACACATGAAAACATCACACCTCGAGTCAAGACAAACATGTTTGCTACTGACTGGGAAGACACTCCAGTACGACCAGGCAAATCTACAACATGGTATTGGGGCCGAGAACCACGTCCAATTGGTCATGGTAGTGTTTCTCAAGAACTAGAGGATTCTAGATTCTGGTATTCTGCAAGAAAGTCGTCTGACACACCGAATGCCATTGAAGCTGGCGTAACAGTACCTCTTTCGTCTCTTCCGCGAGCTAAGGCCGAGGAAAATGAGTCGGCTTCTTGGGTTGGAGGGCTTGGCCGCGACAGCAACACACTTCCAGGCACTAAGGGTGATATCACCAAAAAAGAAGACACGAAAGACATCAATTCTGGTTGTATTACGAGCAAGAATCGACCATATGTCCATATTGATTTGGCTGACCTAGGAGAGAGGTTGGCAGTTTTGGACGCTGCAGAACTGAGAGCAGTGGAAGAAAGAAACCAGCAAGACAATCGAAGCTTAGCCCAACAGACACAATTGGATCTACCAAGAAGACACACACAACTTAGGGAAGAACTCCAGAATTCTGCAAAGATAAAGAAGACTCTACTAGATAAGCTAGACAGTGATACACCAATAGGTTCGAAGATGGATGCGGTGGGAATATTTCTTGATGCGATAGAAGAAGAGACTGAGAAGGTGCAAGGATGGACAGAGGATCTGCGAGAAGCCGAGGCGGAACTTGATCGTGGTTATGATGGAGATTGGGAGGAATCGCAAAGTGAAGAAACGCAGAATGACAAGCAAGCAATATTGAGAACAAGTGCGGAATACTCATCATCATCACCATCATCAAAAGGAAAAAAGCATACACAGATGATCGAAGGATCCTCAACAAGATCGCTTGTTAAGGGAGACAGTATTGAGAACGAGAAGCAAGAGGCTAAGGAAAGTGTGCATAAGGAGATAGAGGGGACAGATGCAAGCGATGTCATGGAACCCGCGATAGCTCAAACTGTCGGACGATTATCATTGGGAGATTTGAATGATGGCAGGGTGGCTGGCTCAGACACTCGTGGCTATGATGGTGTCGGTCCAAGTTCGTCAGTCGAGGAGAAAACTACTAAGGCAGGCTATACAGCAGAAGAACATAACATTCTCTCGCCATCCGCTGGTAACTAATCGAGAGTAAGGACAAAGATAGATAACCAAATTTGAGGTTTCGAGCGTGGAGAGCATCGCACATTAGTACGTACTGCAGATAATACGAAACTGCGGGACTTTAGCAAAATAAACAGACGAGGGCACCCAAGTTCCTTCATGCATGTATTCTACACAAAGGTTGAATTAAAATTGAACGTTTTCTTTATTCCTAGCCCTATCCATACTCACAAACGCCATTGTAATGTCCAAGCACGGTAAGACATGCTCTTAATATGATACAGCCGAAAAGTGTATCTGTAGCCAACCCATAAGCAGAAAGTTTTTTGTTTTTCTCCAACACCACTCTTTTTAGACTCTAACATTCCTGCCCTCCTTCTCCACAACCTTGACCAAATCCTTGTAGACTTCCTTGAATTCTTCCTCGCCCTCGATCTTCTCGGCCTTCTTTGCGCCCGATCTCGCCTCTGTAACCATTACCACACTCGTAGGTCTCTTTGTGTTACCTGCTGCTCCCAATTCGGCTCTGCTGGTAACGAAGATGTATGGTACGTTATGATCTTCGCACAAAATTGGAATGTGAGAAATGACATCCATTGGCGAAATGTCTGCAGCAAGGATAACGACACCTGGGAAAACGGTATTGCTGGCACCTTGAGGAGATTTGCGAAGAGCTTTGACGACTTCCTTAACACCACGCTTAAGAGTCTTGTTTTTGGCAGCTACGAATGACAGTCAGTATTTTTCATCGCAAAAATGCGTCCACAATGACGACTACGCAACAATTGGAAAAAGGAAGGGGCGAATTGATTTACCTTTCTTAACACTCTTGAGCACCTTCTTTGCGACCTTTTCATCGGCCAATGGGTTTGCGAACGGAACCAAAGCTCCTACTGGTTTGATATCGGCAGCTGCATCTTCCTTATCCTCCTCAATCACAATATCCATGACCTCAACATCCTCTGGCTCCTTGGTAACTTCGGCAATGGCAGCAGCGACATTGTCTTCACTGAGCTTGACCTTCTTGTCCTTCTTGGAAGATTTCTTAACACCATCGGTTTCACTTCTCTTCTCCTTCTTCTCCTTCTTGTCGCGCTTCTCGGATTTATCTTTGCCCATTTTGAATATCCTAAACTTCTACTTTGGAAAGAATATTTAATGTACAATACAAAATTGTTGGTGGTGTTAATTGGACAAATTTGTTGTTTTGCGATGAAATCAGAGCTTGAGGGTTCAGAACTTTTTTACAAAATGTTCGGCGGGTCAATTCGCACTAAACTAGATCGGGAGCTGCTATAAAAACTCTCAAAAACTCTCACAAAGCTGTAACTTGGGCACGCCTGGTGGCATGCAATTGCCAAAATGATATTATAACACTATCAAAGGTTTGGGCAGTATAAAGTACTTCACGGATATGTGGATTTTAAGTGATATCATGTCCTCCTTTATTATCGGCCTCAGTCATATCCAAATCACCATATCATAATGCGTTCACAAATAGCAAAAGTCGCACCCCAGTCAGTGACTTGCGTAGAAACACTTTTTAGAAACCATGATGCATTGCAAAATCCCAATCTAATACTTTACACCCCAATTTCTTCCTTGAATCTCGCATAGCCACCAAACTTCTTCGATTTGGAGGATCAGGAAAGGTCCAACACCAAATAATGCTTCGCATGCTGGTCATGTGCTTTCCAAGCTCTATTCCTCGCCACCAAACTCCAATCTTCCTGGCTTGGAGTTCAAGTACTCGTTTCTACCAAAGCTAATTAGAACGCAATGCACTTTTGCGATATCACAGACAGTAAGACAAACCTCTCGATAGCCCATTCCATGGCAGTGTATGCGATGATGAATGGTGGTGCGACATAAAGGACTTGGCCACGGAATCGTCTCCAGGTGTTGAAGATAGCTGCGTTCAAGGCGCCGGCGAGAGGACGCTGTCGGTTGGCACTGAGTGCATATGATGCGACACCCTTCTGGGGTTGGGAGCCTGTATATCCCACATCAGTCAACTGTTCCTCCTCGTTGCTCGATACCGTCTGATCAATCTCGTGTCGTCGGCGCTTGAGTGATCCCCTCTTCATCCTCTTCTACTCGGTCAACCCCCCCTCCGGCATCTCGCGAGGTCGTGTGTGTCGAGTGATTTGTGCGGGGATTCCAGTATGCCGAGTACTGGTAGGAAATGCTCTTCAAACTCACCCAAGTTACCCCAGCCACCAAGATATCTATAAAGTAACATAAATATTAGCATGCCATACATCTTGAAAACCACAACCCTCCCACACTCATGTAATTGTCTGGCCACCCGTGAAGACCCGTGAAGATTCTTCTTCCTTCGCCATAGGAATCTTGTTGGAAATACTCACTTTCCGTACTTTCCAACCTCTCCGTCACCGCCAGATCTAAGAATTGAAGTAGGTCTCATTTTGAATAATGTGCGAAGTGCCAACAGATTCAATTGTTAAGTATTATTCGTCAAAGCAGAAGTTCTAATATTCTGAATAGAAGTCGGGCAATCGGATTATAATCGCCAAGCATTCATCCGACCCCCCTGTCTTGTTCACCCAATCATCACTAGCGCGAGATTCCTCCAAAAATGTCAAGCTGCAGTGAGCCTCCCCTCCGCACTGAGCTTCTAGATATCCCGCCTTCGAAAAGTATCTCCCGCACATCTCCATTTCCACCACCCATAGACAATATTCAAGATGGCGCAATCTCTAAATAACCTCTACAAGTTCATCGTTCCTTTGGGAATCGCAACTGCGGCCGTTCAGTCCTCTATATACGATGTTAAGGGTGGCTCTCGAGCAGTTATTTTCGATCGTTTATCCGGAGTCAAGGAAACAGTCGTCAATGAGGGTACACATTTTTTGATTCCTTGGTTACAAAGAAGTATTATCTACGACGTACGCACGAAACCAAGAAATATTTCAACGACCACGGGAAGTAAGGATTTGCAAATGGTCAGCTTGACTCTGAGAGTTCTACATAGACCTGAGGTCCAACAGCTACCCAAGATCTACCAGGTTTGTCGCCTCTCTCCATTTTGAGCCGATGGCATACTAATCCACAGTAGAACTTGGGTCAAGATTATGATGAGAGAGTTCTGCCCTCTATCGGAAACGAGGTCCTTAAATCCATCGTCGCCCAGTTTGATGCTGCTGAACTCATCACCCAGCGTGAAGCCGTCAGCAACCGCATTCGATCAGATCTCCTCAAGCGTGCTCAAGAATTCAATATTGCACTCGAAGATGTCTCAATCACCCATATGACATTCGGTAAAGAATTCACTCGCGCCGTCGAACAAAAGCAGATTGCTCAACAAGATGCCGAAAGAGCGAGATTCATTGTCGAGAAGGCAGAGCAAGAAAGACAGGCCAACGTTATCCGTGCAGAGGGTGAAGCAGAGAGTGCAGAAACTATTAGCAAAGCTGTTGCGAAGGCAGGAGATGGTCTGATCATGATTAGAAGAATCGAGGCTAGCAGGGAGATTGCACAGACCTTGGCAAGCAATCCTAATGTCACTTACTTACCCGGCGGTGGTGAGGGTGGCAAAGAAGGTGGTGGGAAGTTTTTGCTTGGCTTGAGATGATTATGACAATTGGGATCAAAATGGAATGGAACGAAACAAAAACCCGGAAATAGGTCTTCTGTGTACTACTAGGAATTAGCAAAAATATAATATCCCCTCTGCGCAGGACAAAGTGCACTGCTTTCTGCTTCGTATGTAGTGTATCCCCTTCATTATTTCCTACTCAACTATGGGCTTGCTTCCTTCCATTCATTCAAAGAGTGGTCATGAAATTAAGTACTGGTATAGTTGCCTCCCTCAAAGCATGATTAGGTTCAGTTTGCTTGCAGTTGTCTAGCATCAAATACAATTCATATACAGTTCTGGTTGTTTTCTTACATCATACTCTCATCCCAAATTTCCGAGTGGTTCCATCCCCATCCCTACCCCCTCTCTCTTCATGTCCCGCTCATAGTGTAGCATAAATGAACCTTGTCAAGGGTGATGCCCCATTCGCACGTCATCCCGTATTACACCCAAGAACACCCAAAGGTAAGGGAAATGAAGAGTTCATCTATTACAGGTCTACGCCTACTAGAGGTCTCTTTCGCCCGCTTTCGCATTTTAAGTATCAGTAAGGTATTTCTACTTGTTCAATCCGACTGGCTTACATACCTGCTATCTCTGTTGTATTATCGGTTTATACCGGTACATTTACATATGTTGGACACTAAAGTGTAAGACTTAAATGAGTATTTTGGCAGTTCATGCTTGGTCAACACTACCCAGTGCCACACTTCTCCTTCTAAATCTCAAGAATATCAAAGAGATAATTTCCCACAGCAATGAGATCTAGTCCGTTATCCAAGATTGTCAGTACAAATAGATTGTGATGTTCGCTTGGTTTCTTGACTTGGAATTGCGTACTCCGGCCGAAACCCTTTCCCTCCCCCTCTCACCGTTTGCATATTCATACATCGCATCCTTTGCAACACATGCATAAAACAACTCAACCACTTAAAATGTCTAAAGCTGATTGTAAGATTTTACAAGGAAACCAACAATCACGCACACAATATGTTATCTGTGGGGCACGTATTCGTAATTGTTGTTAGACCTCTGTTGGAATCATCTAGTAACGCCAGCACGTCAAAATGTATATCTGTTTCTAACATATTCTCTCAAATATTGTGCATTTCCGACCTCAATACTACAATTGCGTCGGCTGGTCATGAATAACTTTCATCCTCCTCAATTATATCCTAATTTTGTAGTCATTTAAGTCTCTATAGCGATTTAACTTGTTCGCAGAGATTTAGATGTCATTATCGATTGTCCGAGTGGAAACTTGCCTAGACACGAATACCAACAAAATTTAGCCTTACACATGTTCTAAATCCGGGTTGGCGGCCGATCCTGATCATGCAGTATGCTACATCAGGTCATATTGTTGGAATAGTACACCTTTTTGCTTTATATCATCTCCCAATTTTTCGTTTTGAAAAGTAGTTGTCTCTTCTTGTTTCTCTTGAAAATATCTGCGTCCATATTCGAGTCCCTCTTAAAATTTAGGGCTATGCACCCCGTAACAAGCGCTCTACTCTATACTGTTTGTGTCAGTCTAGTTGTATATCTTCGCCAAAGATGGAATTCTTATCGTGCTTTTAGGGCAGCTGCTAAGCAGCATGGCTGTAAAAGGGTTCCGAGATACTCTGATCGGGACTCAATATGGGGCACCGACTTGATGAAGAAGAGAGTGAAGGCTGTTAGTGAAGGTCGTCAAATGGCCTTGTTCATGAAACACTTCAACGAGATCGGAAAAACCTTCGAAGAAAATTTCTTTGCCACCAGAGTTATCAATACCATAGAAGTTCACAACATACAGCGAGTTCGTGCTCTTTCTTTTGAGGATTATGGAAAGTCAGCTCAAAACTTCTTCAAGGCATTTCTAGGTGATGGAGTCCTCTCTCTAGATGGTAAAGCGGTACCTTCCCTGCAGCTCGTTCTCAGCGTCTGGCGCTCAAGAGTACAATTCTTCCGGTAGGTGGTGGCCCGGACGGAAAATCTCCTATATTTGTAGAGCAGGGAGACGCGGTTGCTTTAAATATCTGTGGTCCTAATCACGATAAAGATATTTGTAAGTATAGCTCAGCCCCTGATTTAATTAACAGCGCGTGCATCTTTCTTCTTCAATTCGGTCGGGGGTTCATTTACTTCTTATAGTCATTTAGGATGAAGACAGCTACTGACATTCCAATACCACAGGGGGTGATGATGTTGAGGAATTCAAGCCACAGAGATTTAACGATAAAAGAATGGGCTGGGAGTTTACCCCCTTTCTGGGTGGTCCTCGTATCTGTCCTGCCCAACAAGAGGTCCTTACGCAGTCTCTGTATAACTGCTTGTCAGAATGACAAGAAGATTTGCTAGGATTGAGAATAGAGATACTGTTTTAGAGTATGTCGAGATGGTAAGAATGACCACTGAGAGCCGCAACGGAGTTAAAGTTGCACTGTTCACTTCAGAAGGGGAATAAATTCGACCGTCACTCTTGATGCATCTGTATGACAAAGACAATGCACATCCAAAATATTCACCAGTATTGACCCCGCTATTTCCTAACGTTATGACACAGTCAAGTGGTTATTTTAAGACTCTGGAACAAATAGATATCGAGTTTACAATATCATTTCCTTTCGAAGTAAGCATATTTGAAAAGAGCAAAATTGGAATACTCTTCTCAGAGAAAGCAGATGCACGATCTCAGCTCTCGGCTACCTAAGAATCAGTTTATAGGTGAACAGCGCAGAGTAGGATAGGAATATGAGTCGTTGATACATTGCGAGAATTAGAACCTCTCAATTATAATATTCTCGCAAAATTTTCCTTCCAAGATCGTTCAGGAAGAATCCCATGGCGGATGCAATGCTTTTCGACACCGGTCACGCCTGTTTCTGCAAAGCTGCCTTAGTATGCTAACCTGGAGTCATTCTGTCTGGCAGTCCCTCCGACCTTCCAATGATTCTAATTTCGTTCCATTCTCAAGCGTCTTCATAAACATCGATGCAACACCAGTCATAAATTTCTGACTTTTGAAATCGGCAGATTTAGTATCAATCATTATTTACTCAACATCTCAGTCAGTCAATTTTTGCGAAGAGGTAAGCATTGCTGCTTACTCTGCGCTAATCACAAGGCCAAATTGGAGGAAGACACTTCGGTCATCTCACGTGATCTGTTTGAAAAAGAATCTTTCTTTCAATCGCGAGAATTTTCCGTTTGATCGTGAAAACTAAATAAAGATGATCCGGAAAATAGAAAGGTATCTTGATAATATCAATAGTGGGAGGGGGCTGAGAATACATAGGCATCCAAGCAACGTAGGTGTTGTCTCATTTCTCGGCTACACCTTTCGACCGCCATTCTCGACCGAACATCACTTAGGATTGAATCTCGGCAATCGAATCTCGAACCTATATATTACCTTGATTACCACATCCTCAAGTAGAATTTGATCAACTTCCTCTTCATTCATTTTACCAAATACCAACCAAAGCTAGTATAACGATTTCTTTCGGCAAAACACATCGCGTGCTACTGGGACAACATACCGGTTTATCACCGTGTATAAATTCTAAACTTCAGAATGAAAGTGGTTCTTTCTGGTAGTACAGGTTACATTGGGGGTGAAGTTCTTTCCCAATGTCTGAATCATCCATCCATAACTTCTATTATACTTCTCACTCGTCGGAATCTCGAAGCCTTGACCGAAAACCCCAAAGTCAAAGTAATCGTTGTCGACGATTTCACCTCGTATGATGAATCTACTCTCAACGAATTGAAAACTGCCGATGCCGCGATTTGGTGTTTGGGTACATATAATGGCGACGAGAGAGTCGACATTGAATTTCCCCTCACGTTCATCAATTGCATAAAGGCACGGCCTCTTGGGTCAACGCAATTTCGATATGTTCAGCTCGGCGGGGCCTTCACCGAACCACCTTCAGAAGAAGGTCAGAAAGAACGGTCCCTGTGGTACTTTTCCAATGGACGGCGAATTAGAGGTGCAGCAGAGGCAAGGGTCTTGGAAACTTCAGAGGATGGCATTCAGAGTACATTCAAGGTTTATCTTGTCAAGCCAGGAGGAGTGCTACCTAAAAGTGCGACTATACTTCAGTGCATTTTTGGTAGCTCTTTGTCGGTTGGAATTGTTGAGCTGGGCGCCACGATGGTCGACCTAGCGGTACATGGAAATGACAAAGAGGTGTTTCAAAACAACGACATATATCACTACCACCCCATGGGTCTCGACAGATAGACACAACAACACCATTGATACCTCATTCTTCCCGAACACGGATATGTGATCAATCACGCCTGTTTGCTTTGTTGGCCTCGTTCTTCAGATGATATCTACCTTTTGTTTCTGAATCGAGTAGAGAGCATAAGCGCCTCCTGATACCCTTTGTAATTTTCTTTTCATCCCATATAGCGAACTAAATATCACATCATCTGAATTAATGCTTCAAAGATTATTTTAATTGTTTGGTATATAACATGCGATGAAGGCGTCAATCACGGTATAATACAATCACGAACACATAGCAGCCTGAACAATGCTCTGATCTAAAGGATCTATCTAATTTCTCTACTCTAAGTAAAGTAAGTAGCAATATAGCGCATGCGATCAAATGTCATATGTCGCATGGCCTTATATCAAGAATTAGGTCGTGATGAAATCCTGTCCCTATTGACTAATTCCCCACCCCACAAATAACCAAAATTTCTGACAAAAGCTCACTAATCTCTCAAGGGGGTGCAAGGATTAAAGTAGGTCGTGAGGCTCAAGCTTTCTTTCTCCAACGCACAAGATATGTATGACTGAACACCAGAAGAGGACTCAAGCTGATTGGAGAGGTGCCAATTGCTTAAGTGCTTTCATGTAGTTAGCTGCATAAATTCCTCTCCCATAAAGTTCAAGAAACTTGGTGAGTCCTTTGGCAACCTTCATATCCGACTGTCCATAGTGCTTGGTTGGTATGTACAGCTTGACGTCTCGAAGCGCATTTGTTTGGTGGATTTCAAAATGATAGCACATGCCACTGGTACCATGCTCTCGTAGAGGTAGATCCTCCGAAGTTGAGAAGACATCTGGAAGGTTAAAGGTTAAGCGCCAAAGGTCCTTGAGTTCCTGGAAATTCTTCTCGAATGCTGCTCGTCCCCCCCCCCATGCTGAGAATATCTACAACAGAATCGAAGCTAGCTCTGGGCGTGCGAACATATATCTTTAATCGGTATTCTGAAGATATCATGCAGTCGGTTGCGACTATGAAAGGAATAGACAATTGTCTTCCATTCTAGCTGTCACTGAAAAACGACAGCAATTGATCTAGTATGGTCCAATCATACTTATCTTTCTGTCCGAGGCTTTGAATGGCTGCTATGGTTTTTTCATGGGCTCGGTTATCAGTTTCTTGCGAATTTTCCCGTCCTGGCAGCATGAAGTAAGCCTTGATGGGGGAACCGCTCTTGGGGTCGCCTTTGAGAAATTGAAATGCAAGAAATATTGATGAACAGCCCACATCAGCCAAGTCTGCTGCTTGGATATGGTCTCTGGCTTCAGTGGCATCTACTTGTCTAAATATAGCACGAGAAACTTGATGAAACCAAGTCAAGTCTACTTTTGGGTTTACAGCGTCTAGCTCGCGAAGAAGTTCTTCTGTCCCGACCTGGTTGAGAGGGTCCTGTGCTGTTCCGGTGAGCGGACCAATTGCCTCGATGACCATGCTGAGATCAGGCTTCGATATGTTTCCATTCGATAACACTTTTCCAGTGTCCCATTTCAAACTGTATTCGATTGGCTTAAAGTCGTCTTGCATAAAGGACTTCCATTTGTATGGTGACTCGCCAGGGAGGGTTGCCGGTGATGGGCGAGGACCGAGACGTGGTACACTGCAAGATCAAGGAGTTAGTTTCACTTACCAAGAACTAGGGCTTGAAGGCACATGGGTAAAGTAAAGTATTGATGCTGTGTAGGGAAGATTAGGGTACATGAAATGAAGCACAATCGTTTAGATTTTACTGGGAAACAGAGGGGGTTAGTGAAAACAAAAATCCGACTAAAAGATTAAGCTTACAGAACATGGTAGTGGAAGAGCAAGCCCTCGTACTGTTGAGTGACACTGTACCCAGCATGAAACAGTAGGGCACCAAGTTGAGGTACCTCGCTAACCAGTAAGGTCTGGTATATTGCAATTTCAAATGGGAAATAGCAATAATTCACTTAATGTACTAGAAACGTCTCAAACGCACGCCCCGCCTTCAAATATTAGCTGTGCATGAGTGATTGGAGTCGATATTGAAATATTGACCGGGGATTGGTGCTCACAAGTATTCACTTCATACTGTGGCGCAATCCTTCAACAAATCAAATATCAGAATTATTCACTATGTATTTTCTCCGACAATCCTTCATATGCACGCTTCAAGTCACTGTCAGATTACATACGTCAATGGGTAAAGAAAATATTCATTTGCAAATTTTAAACCCCGGGGATTGTGATACTTCATCTTGGTGGTCCTTATACAATGAGACTGAATACCTAAACGAAAATGCTAATTATTAATCTATATTTGAGTGTCAGCGATGGTATTGAATGGTAATATGTCCTTTTAATCTAGCAAGTTCGATGCTACAGTGAGAGACAAGAATGATGGCCGTTCCCGATATATTCTATAGGCTATAGGACGGTCTGACTAAGTCTTGGCTAATGGGCTCTGTCTACGCATCGATAAAAAGAATATTAGTTGTTGATTTGACCGGCCATGTGAGATTAAAGTATAGTGGGATTACTCTAAATGGGTAGTATGAGCACTCGGTAACTATATGAGATATCTATCTGTTGGTTTGAGAAGGATACGGATAAAGTAGCACGTACGATTGTAGATCCTGAATGTCAATATTGTATTCTGTCTAAAGAGCTAGCTATGTACAGGGAATAGTAGTCCTTATATAAGGGCTTCTAAGAGAGCCAGTCTCTTTAGCATTTACTTAGGGTTATAATACAGTAGCCATTGAATAAAAGTCATCCACTGCGTTCACACACTATCCATGTATTTATTCAGCTTGTCGATCTGAATTAAAATGTTCGATTTTGATCTTTACCTCCTATATTTCAATCCAAGTCTCGAAAGTGATGCCTGCTCCCCCTGAGTCCTTCAGCATCTGATTGCGATTAGAACATCAAGGACTGTTATTCAAAAGCGGTCTTGCATTAACTCAGATGGCATCTTTTGATTATCGGACCCTAGTTAGTCTATGATAGGAATAAAGATAACAAAGGAAGTAGAGAACAAGTAGACAGTTTTCAAAGGGCTATCATTAAGAAAGGGGTTTTGGTGTCTTTGTCTAGCATCAGTTCATTATTCCGGTACAGTTTAGGTTTTCATGAACAATAGACGGATCTTAACTATAAGAGCAAGATCTGATCCCTGTCTTCTCCTCATTCAAGTCTCAAGTCACAGCCCTCAGTTTATATTCCCCAACTAAACAAACATCAGCATAACAATCTTCATAAAACATTCACCAAGATGTCTAACACTGTAGAAGCGACTATGCAAGAGCCGCAACCACCACAGGTTGACGCGGTGACCGAGAAGCTGGAAGATCTCACCCTCGGGAATGATAGCGATGAGGCCCAGAAGAAGTCTGAAGTCTCTGACAGCTCAAGTGAGCCTTCGCCTCCGCCAATCTATAGTAAACCCATGACCCCCGGATACAACGTGCCAGAGGCGACGATGCAGGGACCACAACCACCAGAGGTCGACGAGCTAACCAAGAGACTTGATAAGCTGAGACTAGGAAAAGAACGTGGGGAAGACCAAGGAGAAGATGCTGAGGCTGATGAGGTGACCGAAGCTCAAGCAATCATAGACCGAATCCGTGCTCATCCTCGTCGTAGAAAACTTGGTCTACGGGTGCAGGCCTTGATGACGAAGTTTGAGAAGGATGAGAAGTGAGCTTTGGAGCATGAGATGACAAAGCGCTGGCGCCGAGTTATCTCAAATGTTCTGTCGTGGACTCAAGCGAGAGGTGAGTCTTTCATCCGATTATTTCAAGATTAGATCGAAGACAATACTTGAAACAGTAGCATCAGCAATCAACTCTCTCGAGTGAGAGATCCGTATCAGGATAAGTCATTCGCTTAAACCCCACTCCTGAACCCCTCAAAACTTTTCTTGATCACAACAGTAGATTATTCACCCCTTTCAATAATTAAATATATTCTCTTTCACTGCAAACTTATAAACCCAGTCTTGTCTCCCAGTAAGTGTCTTCACCCCACCCCGTTCAAAAATCACAAGTAATATTCTAACACTTGAATAATATTCACCATGTATTGTATTTGTAATTTATGTGTATCTGTTCATTGGAAATTGTAAAGATGCTATGTCTTTAGCTTGTACTTAGCGTAGCTATGTAGGAGACACTTGAAAAACAGAAAGAAATTGTATAGATGCATAGTTTCTTTGAATGTTTTTTCCCATTCGGTTTGCGGTTTTGTGATACCCTTTTAGAAGGGAATGAGATTGTGAAGTTCTAGTATAATGCAGTGAATATACAGGGGAACATTCAGTAGATGAATGAAAGTTATTTGAATAATATATGAAATGAATTGTAGAAATGAGGATGAGGAAGCATTCAAGATTAAGACTGAGCTGGAGTATTTGAAATTATTGAGACCAGTAGATCGCAATAGAGATATCGAATCAACATAATGATTGATAAATGAGGATCTAAAACACTTCAAAAAGGAGGCAATGAAAATCGAGAATCGCAAAACATTTCTGATGCCTGCTTTACAAATGTGTTGTTATGTATGGTCAATCTATTCTAATAAACACAAATTGCTCAAATAACGAGCCCTAACCATGATTCCCCCTTACGACTAGCAATGGAGTCGCTTATCGACGGAGTTATTCACGGCTACCTGTGTTGTCTAGTAGAATTTGATCTTTAATGTTAACCGTAAAGAAGAGTGTATAGAATCCCAGCAGCAAAAAACCAATCATGTCTCAGTTCGTTGTGGTAATCTGTTATTTGTTTTAGCATTCGGTTTATCCTCTTATCGATCGGAGCAAGATCTTGATATTTGTGAACTATAACTTTGTACTTTCTTCTCTCCTCCAGAGATAGTGTTAACCTTTTTGGATGCTAAATGAGTATCTCGATCCCATGCCTGCTTATTTTCAATGGTTTCTTTCTTTGTCGCCTCCAATAATTTACGTTCTTCGATTCCATCTGTGGATGAACCAGATCGCGAGCCTGTTTTCGCCCTTTTAAATACACTTTGTTGAATTGCTTTGAATTTCTCCATTTTAGCCGAATAAAATGCAGCCTCAAATCCGGCTTCTGCTGCTCCTTTCAGATCACCGCTTGGCGGAGATTCGACGCAACTCATATCTTTCTCCAATTCCAGTTTACTTTTGGTGGCAGCTTCCACATTATTATAAAGATTCTCGATTGTCTTGACCAGGTTGGGATCAAGTACCCATTCTCTTCCATCCCAGTACTGTCCTGGATGTTTTTTTACCACAGCCCTTGATGTCTCTAATATTATGAGAAGAATGTGAGGGTGTAGCATTGCTCCTTTGTCTGTTATTATTGCCGTCTTCTCTGCTCTTACCTTCACTGTGCCGTTCGGAATCTCTAACCATGATAGGAAGCAAGACAATCAATCCTTAAATTCTTTCGTTCTAATTATATTTTGAGGATCGTAGTAATGGCAAGGTGTATCGTTCAGAATTAGGTGTTCTTTCAATTGACATGTCAATTGGTTCATTGTATATAGCATGCCAATATTTTGTTGATAATTATCCTAAGCAGCAACTCCCTGTACCTATTCATTCGAGGCAGAAGACAAATCAAGCTAGTCAAAATTCGACGACCCCAAACCCATTGGATAGTATCACAATGCCTGAAATGAACTGGCGATTAGTGTGTCCAAATATAAACATCCGATAAATGAGACGTCCCAGATAATGCAGTTCTCTGATTTAGTATGCTCACCACCTGAAACGGTGTAGAGCTTTGATTCGATGCTTGCAAGACAGAAAGAAAAACGCAAGGTCCACGTTTATTCCCACGTTGACTTTTGAGTGGCCTTAAAGATTGGGGCTCATGAAGTATCATACCGACCGTGGACCTTTGAGACCTTTCGCTTGAAATGGGAAATCCATTTCAGCCCCGCTTCCGAGAAATGCGATTTAACTCATGTCCCACGAAATGACGAATGCTTCAGAATTGAATCGAGGGAAACTAGACCTACAATCCATATCTATCAACCTAGTATGAATGAAAAAATTCCTAAAAGGGAAAAGGCAGTCTTCAAGAACAGGAATCAACACATCACTTGATATATCGAGGTGCCATTAACAGCAGAACTTTCTCCTGGTCCCTTGAATTTGCAATCCAATACGCTGTATTAAGATCGATGGGTAATGCCGTATTACATCGAAGTATTGTCTCAACAATTTCAAAGACAACTATTCCTGGATAGACGAAACTCCTTGATTGAATCCGACTCAGAACAATACCTCGCCGATGCTACATGAAGTATGTGACTAGAAAATGTCATATTGATGCGTAAGGGAATTGAGATGAGCGCGACAAAACTTTGAGAACTCTGCATGACTAAGCAAAGCATGACCAAATTCCTTTTCATGATTTTTCCAGGTGCAGCATGATTGAAAAATAGCAGATTTGACATCCACGCGGTTTTTTAAACTCTTCAAACCTCCACCGTTTCGGATCAAGTGAATGTCGCTGTCAAAGAGTCGTTCATGCTTTGGCAGGAATTACTGCCTCTAGGAAAAGTTGAAGCCAGCTTGCACGTGACGTACCGATCACAATTCTTGAGGCCTCTTCTTCACATATCGCCGTGTATCTGAACAGTGATGCCTTCCGATCCACTTACCTACAATTGTACCTGCCATCAGCCAGGCCTCGTGCTTCTCTTTTATCGCTACTTTACCTCCCCACCTCAACTCTCTCCACCACATTATCCACTCACACCTTCTACCCTCAAAGACTTGCATGGGTTCCAGAAGTCAACATGTGAAGCTCTAAGTCTTACTGGCAAAATTCGGGTCGCAAAGGAAGGTTTCAATATCACTGTTGCCGGTACGACGTCAGATGTGCATTCGTATATCGAATCTTGTATATCTCATTGGTCATTCGCAGGCTTAGATTTGTCTCTGGACGATGAGAAGGGAATCAAGGAGTTCTTCAAACTCACAAAAGGCTGCGCATGTGTTTTCATGGATCTGAATACCCGTATTGCAGATGAAATCACACCATTAGGAATCACAAACTACGAGCCTAAGAATTGGAACGCGGTTTCTTATCTCAGTCCTGCGGAGTTTCATGATATGGTCACGACTACGGCAGATGGGGAAGGAGAAAGAATATTACTCGATGTACGAAATCATTATGAATCGCGTATTGGTTATTTTGAGGCACCGCAGGAATCGGGTATCCAGACTGTGAAGCCACAGGTTAGGAGGTTTTCGCAGTTTCCGGCGTTTGTGAAGAAACATATTGATTTCACCTCTCGTTCTTTACCCGAGAGCGAAAAGGAGCATGTCAGTGCCGGAAGAACGATTTTCTCGTACTGTACAGGTGGTATTCGCTGTGAAAAGGCTACAAGGTGGATCGTTGAGAATGTGGATCAAGCCCCGCAAGACAGAATCTACACCTTAAAGGGAGGCATATCAGCTTACATGGCATGGTTTGAGGAAGAGATGATCGCTGGGAAGAAGAAAGAAGATGAGTGTTTATGGAAGGGAAGGGAATATGTTTTTGATGGAAGAGGATCATTGGGTTTAGGTAATGAGAATGAAAGGAGGAAAGTAGCGAAGTGTCATGGTTGCGAGAGGGAGGAAGACAGAATGGGAAAATGTGGCATAGAAGGGTGTGAGTTGGTGTTAGTGGTTTGTGAGGCCTGTGAAGGTGTTAAATGTTGCAGTAGTTGTGGAGATGAAGCTGAAAATGGGAAAAGAAATGTATGTGATTGTGAACGGCAAAGAGAATTTGAGCTTTGGGGGAGTGGGGGTATGAAGAGCGTGAAAGGTGTTTCAGCAAAGCAGAAAAAATCAAATGAAAGAGGGAAGAGGCAGATTCGACATGACACCATAGATATCAGAGTTAGAATATTAGAATAAATATTTGTTCATAATATATTACCATATTCGATAAAGTATCTCGCGTTGTGAATTAGAAAAGCTCAAGTGGGCAGCCTTGGTCGACGCTCTTTTTGGGCATTTTCTCCACAATAATTTCCTTTGTCAACTTCATCAATTGCTCGCCTAACTCCTCATCCTGTGACAGAGAGCTTCCCGGCTCCGGGATTGCCGGTGGACAGATATATAATCCACTTTCTTCTACTGCAGTACTTGCGTATAAGGTACTGACACAGCCATCCCATTGATCCTTCTTCAGCGGCTTCATCACGACAGACATGCCATATCCGAGTATTGGATATGGCTCATGAATATCAACTTGTGACATTTTCGTATCGACAAATCCTGGATGCACTGAATTGACCAAGATTTTGGGATATTTGGAAGTAAGATGACGAGCTAAGTAACGAGAATAAAGCATAGCTGCCAACTTTGATCGTCCATATTGACCATTTGGTCCCAAGTCAGTATTCAACTCTTCCTGATTGGCAAATTTGCAATCGCTTGGGGTGGCTTGATGAGCATTCGATGCCATATTAACGATTCTAACAGTATTTCCTCCCTCTGCTGTTTTCTTGAGGATTGGCATCAAGTGACTGGTGAGAATAACGTGGCCAAAATGATTAACAGCCATGTGTCTATCAAGACCGTAATCGGTAAGTTGATAGGTCATGATTCCCCGTGCAGCGAGATTGCATAAGACATCAATTCTATCTGTGCTTTCGGAAATCGTGTGGGCAACCTTGCATACAGACGGCCAGTCGGACATATCACACTTAAGGAATGTACATTTTTGAGCTGCCTCGGGTGAAATGGTCTTTGAGATGTCTTCTACGGCACCATCATAGACTTCTTGGGATACAGCAATGATGAATAGCTTGGCGAGGTTGTTTTTGAGAAGAGTATGTGCGCAACCATAGCCGATACCTTCGCTACCACCGGTAATCACTGCCACCTTTCCACTCTGATCAGGGCAATCCTCGAGGGAGAATTGGTGCTCTGGTTTTGCAAGAGAGTGTCTACAAAGAATTAACACAACGAATATCTGGAGAGAATAATGGATACATACGCACTACCGAAGTTTTCGGCGATTGTGTTCTTAACTGCCTGCATGATTCTGAAACTGGAGATGGGAGAGTCTGTATGTATAAAAAGTAACCTTGATTGTAAATATTTGATTTGATATACCAGGTAATAATCGGTGTGTATTAGGGAACTCTGTTGGTTTGAAAGTTGTATAAAACTTTGATCTATCTATATGTAGGTGAGGTCAATAGTCATGATGTCACCATGACCTAGTGTCGAGGCAAACATCATACCGCGGGGTAAAAAGAATCGTCTCCCCACGCCATCACTGTGTCTTACCTAGTAGATTGTCAACCATACCACGGGCCGCTTAGTTAAAAACCATTACGACACTTGCATAATAAGCATTCACGTATCATCTCAGTTAGCTCCAAAGTTCTTATTGGAGCCGTATCACATATCTAATGAGACACAAAATTCCTGGTTGATAGCTTCAATCGTAAGACAACCCTACGAATCATGGTTTCGAAATTGGTAATTATTTACGAGCTAGAACTACCTAGTTGCATATTGGCTCTGCATGTTAAAATCGCCGTTTATCATCTTACATTTATGCCTCGATATACTTTTTCAGGCCTCGTAATCTCTCTTTCGCTGATTCGAGCACTTCATCTTCCTTGCATACAGCAAATCGCAACCAGTCTTCGCCAATATGAGCATTCTCGTCGGTATAAAACTCGGTTGGAGGAATAGCAGCTACGCCAACCTCTTGTATCAAGAACCAACTCAACTTGAAGTCTCTTGGGCGGTCCCTAACGTGGTCTGGGAATGGATAGTCCGCTGGAATCTTGACTTTCTTCATGTTCACCAAAACAAAATAACCACCTTCAGGATCGGAGAATGGAAGGTCCAGTTCTTTCCAAATCTCGTTGAAAAGATTCATTTTACCCTTCATCTCAGTTACGGCTGAGTTCCAGAAGTTATTAGCATCGGCTTCTTCAAATCCAACAGCCGCAGCTTCTTGTAAGGGCGACACAGAAGAATAGCAGATTCTGGTGTGTGCTGCTGCAACATATTGAATCAAGTGTGGTGGTCCAATCAACCATCCAACACGCCACCCAGTCGCGTAGAAGTTCTTTCCAGCAGACCCAACTGTAAGTGTAAGTCTCTCAATTTCTGGAGATAAGGTTGCTATTCTTGTGAATGGTGTATAATATAATCGGTCATACACTTCGTCGGAAAGGATGATAATTTCGTTCCTGACGCAAAGTTCTCCAATCTTAAGCAATTCCTCCTTTGAAAAGACCTTGCCGACCGGGTTGTGAGGCGTGTTAATAACGATCATCTTTGTCTTAGGTGTGATAGCTGCCTCGAGCTC